CCACACAACCTGACTTCAAAACCTACTCTACAACATATATATATATATATATATATATATATATATATATATATACTGCCTTCCATGATCAATGACATCAATAATGTGCAGGACAAAAGGTGTTCATTTGTATCCTTTTTCTTTGCAACTGTCATAATCAGAATACTTTTTTCCCCTTTGCATTAAATACCAGAATTTTTTTTATCTCTCCTTCTCCATCTTCCTGTCTATCTCTATCTCCATCTATATCTCTATTTCCTTCCTCCCCCAGTCTCTGTCCCTCTTGTCCCTCTATTTCTTTCTGTTACACACACACACACTTATAACAATATCTACGAGGTCTTTTAATTTTAGCAGAAAGCATCAGACAATTCTTATAATCCTATCAGCAAATTCTGAACTGACAGTCTCTCTTGATTGCCTATGACATAGATTGCAGCTCTCATTAGAGACCTTTCTTTTACTGGGTCTCAGTCAGTGACCACAAAGAAATTCTTTCTTTCTTCCTATTTTCAAGAACTGTGTTTCTCTGGACTTCCTTGATGGTCCATTGTTTTAAGACTCCAGGCTTACTCTGCAGGGGGCATGAGTTCTGTCCCTGTTCAAGGGACAAAAGTCCCACATGCAGAGTTGTCCAGACCAGGAGAAAAAAAAAAAAAAGAATTGTATTTCTCTGTCTTCCCCAGAGGACAGACAGTTGCACTTGGGATGTGCCGCTTTCATCTCTTATATCCAGTGTCCGGCATGCAGTATGTTGTAAATGTAGGAAGGAAGGCGGGAGGGAGAGAGGGAGAAAGGGAAGGAGAAAGTGAGGGAGGAATATATGAAAGACTGCATGATCCACATTTTCTGGATCACCTGTTCCTGGAGAAAAAGTTCACAGGTGAAATGGAAATAACATCTCTGTTCACCCAGTGGCTCTGGTCTAACCCCCTAGGGTCAGCCTTGGAGCCTTCCCTTCTTCATGCTGCACAGCAGACCCGCCAGCAAAACCTCTGGGCTCTCTCTTCCCAACCATCTCAACCCTGCCCTGATGTCACTGGTGTCCAATCCACCATCTTTCCTTGCCTAGTTTTCCGACCGCCCCCAGCCTGTCCTCCCTGCCTCTGCGCTTTCTCTGCTCTAGTCTATCAATGAAGAGGCAGTCAGAATGTTCCTTGCAGAACTCTTTGATGACAACCCCCCTCCCCCAACACTTACCACTCAGAGTAAAAGTGAAAGTTCTTTCTATGGCTCATCAGGCCCCGAGGTGCCCTGTGCCCACTCCCACCTCTCTTTTCCTCCCTTGCTCACCTCACCCTGGCCACACTGCCTCCTCCCTTCCCTACTCAGCATCATTCTCGGTCCCACTGTGGGAAGCTGAACAACAGCTTCCAAACACACCCATGTTCTAATTCCCAGAAACTTCTGTAGCAAAAGGGACTTAGCGAAAGTGATTAATTAAAGGATCTTCATATGAAGAGATTATCCTGTGGGCCCAAACTAACAATTTTCCTTATAAGAGGGACCAGAGGAGTCCGACTGGAAGGCAAGGGGAAGCTGGGGACTTCTGTGGTTGTCCAGTGGTTAAGACTCCATGCTTCCACTGCAAGGAGCACAGGTTCCATCTCTGGTCAGGGAACTAAGGACCTGCATACTGCACAGCATGGCCAGGAAAAAAAAAAAATAAAGGTGAAGCTGAAAGCTGGGGAGAAAGGGAGATGTGACGTGGGCCACGAGTGAAACTTGAACACTGCCCCTAAAGAGTACTGTACTGCGCTCAGTACTCGGTCCTGTTGGACTCTTTGTGACCCCGTGGACTGTAGTCCACCTGGCTCTTCTGTCCTTGGGACTTTCCAGGCAAGAATGCTGGGGTGGGTTGCCATTTCCTCCTCCAGGGGATCTTCCGGACCCAGGGGTCAAACCCACATCTTCTGCATCTCCTGCATCGCAGGAGGATTCTTTACCACTGAGCCACCAGGGAAGCCCTTTCTAGGAGCAAGGGGGATGGGGGTTGGGGGGAGGGCGATGGGAACACACTCTGCCTAGAATCTCCAAAAGGGACCCAGCTCTGATGACTCCTTGTTTCAGCCCCCCCGAGATTGACTCCCCGTTCTGATCTCCAGAATGCTGGAGAACAAATTCGTGTGGTTTAGAGCCACTATGTTTCTAAGTAATTTGTTAGGACAGCCGCAGGAAATTAACATACCAGTTATTTTGTTTTATGTTTCTTTATGGCACTGTCACCACTGGGCATATTTTATATTTATGTGTCCATCTGTTATCTCTCCTGCTATGATGCAAAGTGCAGGGGAGCCTGGACTTTGTTTTCTTCCCTGTTGTACATCCGGAACCTGGCCCAATAACTATCTGTTGAATGAATAAATAAATGATGTATTTTAATTAATTGATCAACACCCGGAAGTGGCTGAGCCTCAGTACGAGGTTGGCTGAATACAGTTATTAACTTGCATTCCATCTTCTCTGATCTGTCCAGACAGGCAGAAACACACACAAATGAGAGCAGGTATAGCTGCAGCCCAAGGTGGTCAGTTGCTCAGTGACTCTTTGCGACCCCATGGACTGTAGCCCACCAGGCTCAGACTTTGTCCATGGGATCTCCTAGGCAAGAATACTGCAGTGGGTTGCTATTTCCTTCTCCAAGGTATCTTCCTGACACAGGGATGGAACCCATGTCTCCTGCATTGGCAGGCATATTCTCTATGACTGAGGCACCTGGGAAATCCAAGAAGAATTCATGCAGGGAGGCAAAAGAGGTGAAAAGCCTTTTGGGTCCAGCCCAAAGCAGCCCAGGAGGAGAACGACCCCAGAACCCCAGCAGCGAGCCTGCTAGGAAGATGGTGATCCCCGTTCAATGCAGAGGTTCCAGCACCCACTCCTTGGAGCTGGGAGGAGCATGGAGCTTGAGCTGGTCACCCTCATGCCCTCCACTCCCGGGCAAGACCAGTCGCCTGTCTTCACATTATGCATTTCCACTCCGCATGGAATAAAGAACTGCAGTGGGGGTGGGGTGGGGGTTGAGAAGCTGGGATTAAGCCTGTCCTTCTCATTGAATGATGCTGAGTATCATCTCTTAGAAGGAGTTCACACATAGGAGCTGAGGTTGATTTTATATTGTACGACCCCTTAGCAAACTTAGAGTTAATTAGATCCAATATTTGCTTTTAGGGAACTACGGATCTTAAGAACTTAGAAACCATATGTTACTATCAAATGGTTTTTCCTGTGGCTGGCACCAGTCGGAGATGCCAATGCTTCTATTCCCTCCTACTTCTGTTTGGTTCAATGGTGGTGGCAGGCTAATTTCTGATGAAGTCAACACTTGGCCAAATATAAAAATAATGGTCTGATGTGCCTGGAATGATGGAGATCATGACAACGATAGTTCATCTTCAACGATCAGGACAATAATGATTCAGGATGTTGATGGCTGCAGAAGTTACATGGATGCCTCTGTCTTGAGGAAAATATACCCAGTCCTCACTTTTGAAAGATTGCTTCTTTTTTTTTAAACTGACACAATGGTAAGTGGATATAAAGGCTGGAAGGTGGCTTGAATGCCTCTGTTTGAACTTTGCCTCCTCCGTGGAGACTCTCTTGACCCCTTCGTGCACCCTCGGGCACCCCCAGGATACCCACAGCACTCTTGCTTGCTCACTCCTCTATTTCACCAAAATTCACAACTTGCAAGTCTGTCTCCTATACTACATTGTTATTTCTTGAGAGAAAGGGCTCTGTCTACAGACCCATCACCCTCCCAAATGCTCAACACAATTCCAGGCAAGGTTTGCCAAGTACCTAAATACAAACCATACACTCTGCTTGGTGCTTTTGAAAAAGGACCTTGTGGTCGAACAAAAGAGACATGATTTATACACCAAAAACAACTAGGAAAAAATACAGAGTAGGAAATAATTATATATTAAATTAGCAATACATACAATTAGTGCATTTCACTAGAGGAGTTAATTGGAAACCAGAAAGGGGAGAAATGAGTATAAACCGGGGTTTTCATAGATTTGTAGAGTAATTATTTTTGTTAGCCAGGAGTAGAAGGATTACCAATATGCTGTCTTCACATTAAAGAACTGTGTCACTATGAATTTGGGTGGGGGGATGTTGGGGAAAAAAATCATCTTGATCCATAAAGATGATCTGTTTAGCCCTGAAATGCCTTTTATGTCTTGATAATATTCATAATCATAATCTTTATTAGGCTGTCAATCTAATACAAAGATCATCAAAGTTCTTTGTTTAAATATCCCACGGGTTAAACATTAACACTGAGGCTAAGTGTCTTACTACTAGTGAAATCATTTTATCTCATCAGATATTTTAGTTATATTGGTGTCAAAAGGGCAAGCTGAGTAACAGAGGTAACATTTATTGACCATATATATGAAGCACTATCTGTGGACTTAGAAACACTCAGGAGGAAACACTGGTGCCCGACTGTAATCTTGACTTTCACAAACTGTAGTTTTGTTTAACAAAATCATCTTGATGAAGGAAATTTAACCAGACAGAAAAACGGCACTTGATGTCAGTCACAAAGGAAAGGATTTGAGCAACAATTTCTGCTCACTCACAAGCGAACTTTTTTTTTTTTAATTTTGATTTTCTGCTCATCATGGATGTTTCTTTGGCATCCATTTTTAAAACTTTCATTTATTTTTTGGCCAAGCCCCATGGCATTTGGGGTAGTAGTTCCCCAACCAGGGATCAATCCATGCCCCCTGCGGTGGAAGGGTGGAGTCCCAACCCCTGGACCACCAGGGGAGTACCCTCCAAAGGGAACTCTGAAGAAAGGCTTTGCCCATGGTACAGAGAAGCGGTCATAAGACACACACTTTAAATGTACTTTCCAATTCTTGTAATTTTGACCCGTTCTGGGTGAACCGTGGAATGACTCATTCATCAGCCCTACTCTTTAATAGACATCCAAGGACCACACCACCACGCATCTTTCCCTGGTCACTCAGAGCAAAATAAAGCACCAGTTATGCCATCTGCAGGAGCAGGTGTGCCTGTTTCAGGGCATTCCTTACCTTCACAAAGAGGTTAATCTCGGGGCTTGCAGAAGCCAATTTGTCTCCTTCTGAAACATCATCAGCAGAATAGCTGGTAGGGGAGATCTCGCGGGTGGAGAAGGCTCTGCTATTCTGGATGGTGAAGCTCGAAGGAGAGGGCAGGTCTGCCTCCACCTCACTTCCATTCTCCTGGGGCTCCTCTGGGTCAGACCCCTGGGGCTCCTCTGGGTCGGACCCCTGGGGCTCCTCTGGGTGGGACCCCTGGGGCTCCTCTGGGTCAGACCCCTGGGGCTCCTCTGGGTTGGACCCCTGGGGCTCCTCTGGGTCAGACCCCTGGGGCTCCTCTTGGTCGGACCCCTGGGGCTCCTCTGGGTCAGACTCCTGGTCCTTGGTTGGTGACAACAATTCTTCCAAGGAGATGTCCTCATCCTCCGTGGGTTCCCCTGGGTGGGGATCCTGAGCCTTAGAACATGTTTCATCAGGCAAGACGTATTCTCCTGTTTCCGGCTGTAAAGAGGCCAAGGTTCTCCCCTGACGCCCAACAGTGTACACGGCCACAGAGTCATATTCGTGGCTTTCCAGCTCATTGACATATAAGTTGTCTCCCCTCCTCACATCTTCATGGACTTCATCGTAAAGGGGACCTCCGTTTTCTTCTGGGTCTGAATTCTCATACACCCTCTCTGTTAGCACTCTGTTGTAGATGGTGGTGCTGTAGTTTTTGTCACTCATGTTTATTGATCTGATAGATCCTTTCGCAAGCAGACCCGAGTAGGTCTGAGATGAGGAAAGGGCTAGAGGATACTGAACCTCTAGCAGAGGAATCAACAGGCTTTTGAAACACAGCAACCAGCCACAGCTATCAATGACAGGTCTCTAACAATCATTTACTGGAGACTTTAGTCGGCAAACCACAAGTCCACTGGACATAAGATAAAGCTTACACAGTCAGTTAACTCCTTCATGCCTGATATTTTCAAGCAGACTCCGTGGTTTTCTCATTGCCAGCAACTCCAAGATTCTTTGGATCAACTAGAGGTTGAATTATCTTCCCAGTACACATTGAAATTCTGAATAGTTAGCCATTTGTCATTAAATAGAGCTCCTTCTTCCAACTACCTCCAAATGCTGACAACATTCAAGAGGTCCCTGCTGTTCAGTGGAAAACAATTCTGTGCAATCATAACTCATCCGAGAAGAGCTAAATTTGTTACTCAAAACAACTGTTTGAGCATTGATGCCCTGTGATAAATGAGCTGTATATGTTCCAGTTAGGTGATGAATGCCATTTATGTTTCTTATCTGGAAACACCATGAGGTGATTCAATGGCAGAAGGAAAACAAGATAAGTGCTCTGTTCTATGGTCACATCAGTACAGATCACCCAAGCTAAGGCACTCAAAGATTTATGGCTTAGGTTTTATTTTTCTCTCTTCAACTTGCATGTGATCATCACAGTCAACACACCTTCACAATAACCCTTTTAGGAGCAGGATAGTAATTGAGCACTAAACGCTTGAGTTAGAAGACACACTCTGTCCTCAAAGGACTTCTAAAGCAAAAAACTTTATGCACAAGCTGTCTAGCTGATGTCACCTACAGATGCCACGAATACACAGGCTCTTTGTTTTTTAACCTGGTACTCTAGTCTGCTAATTCTTACTTCCCTTCAGCACACCATGTACATCGTTCTCTTTCAAATAATAACCCAAGTGGGTTGTAAAGGGACTTTTAATGTCTAGAAATCACGTGAAAACTGAGCGGTAACCTGCCTGGTTGACAGGTTTCAAAGCACCTGCTGAGCAGCTTACTGACAAAACTTCATTGTACCCTTGCCTCCAGTGCTGCATTCAAGAATCTTCTGGAGTGAACCAGAGCAGGACTTCTAGAAATCTAGCTTTGTGGATAGCTTAAAGAACAGATCAAAGGAAAGATGCCAGGGACAGACTTTAAAGTCTATCGATGCTACCCCTTTATTTTATTGAAAAGTGAAGTTTGATAGGTCCGAATGCCTGACCGATTACCATAGTTCCCCTAGTCAGGTGTTTATAACTCAGTGGAGCCCCAGTTTAAATCCTTCTCACAATCTTAGCACTGGAGAAAACCTAAACGGTCATTCATTCTAAATGATTTTACATTTGAAGGCAGCCTGGAACCTGGAAAAGGGAAGCAAGTGGTCCAAGTTCTCACAGTCAGTTAATACTAAGCTGATTTCGATTGTGATTTCTTAACCTCCAGCTCAGTGATCTTCCTGTCACTCACTCCCTCCCTAAGTCAGTGTTTTCCAACTTTTTCTCCTGATCATAAAACCTCCCAACCCACCCTGTCCCTAAAAGGTTCTTTTTAGATATTTCTCCCATGTAATTAAAATTCTGTCAATATACTACATATCTGTTAACATACTGTATATACATCTGTGCTTTATACATCAAAAAAAAAAAGTAATTTTTTTTTCACTGAAGAACTAGTTTTCACTCTTCCAGATATAGTATCGCTTCTTTTGAGAATTATGTGCTTCCACTGCTAGAACCCATCCAGGGTTTTAGAATGACCCTTTGTGCTATCCTGCATCAAAAATATGTGCCATCCTGCATCATTTCCAAATAATAATACCCTACAACCTGAGCTTATGTACTCCGCATGCTACCAGGTCCCTACCAAGATGACTTGGTGTGTCCAAGGAGGCCGGTTAAACTTAGGGCCCAAGATCACACAGGTATTTTATACATTCAGCCCCCTTGTTAACCTATCTCAGGACATACCTATCATGATTTAGTTATAGGTTGCAATATGGAACTGGTCATCCTGCTAAAGTATAAATCAGATCACCTCTCTCTCTGCTCAAACTCATATAATGGCTCCTCAAACCCACATGCGTTCGTGCCTGGTCAGTTGTGTTTGGCTCTTTGTGACTCCATGGACTGTAGCCCGCCAGACTCCTCTGTCCATGAGATTCTCCAGGCAAGAATACTGGAAGGGGTTGCCATTTCCCCCTCCAGGAGACCTTCCAGACCCAGGGATCAAACCCAAGTCTCCTGTGCCTCCTGCATTGGCAGGTGGGTTCTTTACCACTAAGTCACCTGGGAATCCCTGTAGTGACTGACAAAGCCCAGGAAAATCTACACCAGCTTTCCTATGCCCACTTTTCTCCCCCTGGATTATGCTGCTGCAGAGGATGTGGCCTTGTTACTGTGCCTGGAACACTCTGGATCTTTACACGGGCTGTTCCCCCTGCCTGGAATGCATTCCCCTTGGATATCTGCATCATCAACTCTCCAAACTCTTCTAAGTTCCTGCTCATACATCCCTTTCTCAATGAGGCCACTCCAACTGTGTTGTGTAAAATGATGTCCTATCCCAACTCCTATCTCTGCCCTCTCCCCATTACTAAAAGCCTTTACCTGGCTTTCTATTTATTTTTTCGATAGTATGTATCATCTTCTAATAAGATATATACATTACTTATTTATTATATGTCTTCAGTTTGTTTTCTGTCTTCTACCAGTGGAGTATAAGTCCTGTATGGGCACAGATCTCTGTCTGCCTTTTCATTATGGTTTCAAGCACCTAGAGTAGTGCCTGGCACATATTATTCAATACATTATTTGTTGAATCCATTTTTGTGATTGTTTGGTATCTTTGTCCTCCACTGGACATGCAAAGCCCATGACTATTTTTCCCATCAATGCATACCTAAAGTCTAACAGAGATCTGACACATAATAGGTGCTTATTAAATATTTGTTTTATAAACAACTAAAATGGAGAAGATGAATCTAGAATTCAAGCCATTTTACTCCTGGCCCATTTTCTTCCTGTGTTATCTCATTACTATGTTGTAAACTCCTGCAGGAAGAAGCTGGGTCTCCCATAGCACTTTGTATACAACAAGTTGGCTTGTTTGCTTGTAAAAGAAAGAGTCCCTCGGCCAATTAATCAATTAGGAAGTATTCTGAGTGCTCCGTATGACTGTGACATATAACCTACGGAAAGAAATGAGACATACATTCATTTTCTCGAGAAGTTCTAAGAAAGAACCTGTGTGCTTTCTGAAACACAAGTTTGCTTATATCACACCCATGTTTGGAAATCTTCGATGAAAACACATACAGGAAGATGTCTGTTCCAAGATTTTTCACAAATGGAACCAAGTCCGTCTGTCCAGCCAGTGTCTCCCTCAGCAACCCCCCTGAAAGTCCTGCTCTGCAGGAGAAACGTGGCTCTTCCCTGAATACACCATCCCATTTCCCGCCCCATGCTTTATACATATGGTGCCTCCACGGGGCAAAATGCTACTCATTCCACCAGATATAGGATATAAATATACATAAGACATTATCGGATGTGCACACACAACTGAGGAAATATACAAATTAGCTGTTCCACAGAAAGGATCCAACTGGGACTACAGCAGCCCTGCCCATTCATTGTCTTAGATAACTGTGGGGCCAGCGTCTAGTCGTCTGCGTTGCAAGTACAAAGACTCAATTTGGTAAGTTTACACAGGGCTTTTCAAACGTTGTAGAACTGAGTCACCTTAACCAAACTGAAAAACAAAACAGAACAAATATCAGTTTATCAACATAAAGGCCAATTTATTAATTTACCCCCCAAAGCATAACTGCCCCATCGACCTGAATATCTGCTCAAGATAATAAGCATGATCTCTTCACAGTAGAAAAGTTTACACAGAGAATCAGTTAAGGTAATATCCTCACATTATGATTATATGATGTCTCTAGGATCTGAGACAATACCCCTAATTTAAAAACCCTAATCAGTGATTTGTGCATTTTCTTATCCTGATCAGTCTTATTAGGAATTTTTCAATTCTATTTCTTTTTAAAAAATGTTTGACTTTATTAATAGTCTCTATTGTTTCTTTGTAATTTCATTAATTTCCGCTCCTATATTTATTATTTCCTTTCTTATCCCCTTTTTGGTTTTACTTTTTTGTTGCTGTTTGTTTTATATTCTAAGATAATTGTGATGGACACATACCACTGGCATTCAACTTTTCTTCTTTTCTAATATGCATTTAAAAAATTTTCCTCTAAGGACAGCTTTATCTACATCTTGCAAGTTTTGATATGATTTAGTTTCCTTGTCATCCAGTTCAAAATACTTTCCATCTTCTGTTTAGATTGTTTTCCTTTATCCATGAGTTACTTATAAATATATTTATCTATTTTAGAACAGTTGAAGATTTTCTAGTTATATTTTTGCTATTGATTTTTAACTTAATTTCACTGTAGTCAGACAAAACCGTTGTTATGATTTTAATCTGCTGAAATTTGTTTTGAGATAAGTGGGAGTGATCTCAGGGCTGCAGGGTTTCAGAAGAGGGCAAGGTCCCCTGGGTTGAGCGTTAAGGAAAAGGGAAAGTGAGTATCTTAGATGGTAGAAGAGACCCAAACAATGAAGTGGAGAAGGGTGATTAAGGTATGAAATGTGATGCCTACTCAAGAATTCACAGTGATGGAGATAAACCAGACTGGCTGGTGTATGTGGATTCTGGGGGAAAAAATAAGAGAAGTTGGCAATACTGGGATTGAGTGTGGATAACCTTGAATGCCAAGATCAGAAATCTGAGTTTTATGCTCAGAGGATGATATGGAGGATGAGCAGACACATAACACAGAAAGTCATTCAATTCCAGAATGATTTACACTCCAAATGGCTTTAAGACAGACATGTGCTCAGAGAAAACCACTTCCCTTAGCTGGTGTTGCT